CCCTGAGCTCGGGTGCTGGGTCCCATCCCTTGGGGCTTGACAGTGGCTTTTGTCCCCTGGGTTGGGTGGGGAGCCAGGTGAGCTCTAGGTGGATGTAGTTACAGGGGTTTTAGGACCTCCCCACCTGGCCAAGGAGGGGCGGGCTTGGGGACCTGGACAGGGGACTTTTAAACCTTTAAAATGATGACAAGAAGAACACGGACTCCCAGAGGCTTCAGGGCCAGGCCATGTCAGCCGCCCCACGTACTGGCGTGCATGGTCGTGCCCCTCGTGTCTCAGGTGCCCTCCGCCCCCAGTTAGTGCTCAGGGCTGTCTGTCCCTTGACTGTCCCTTGACTGCCGTGTGGCAGGAGTTGGGCTGGACTGTGGGTGTGACTTTGGAGCCTCTAGTGACCTTCCCATTCCTGTCTGCCTGGGGTGGCAGCCGCTTACCCTGACTCGGATCCTCAGTGGGAATGGGCTGAGCCCAGGGATCAGGGGAGACCTTCCCGGAGGAGGGGTGTCTCAGGAAGGGCAGGAATGGAATCTGGGCAGATGATGCAGCAGGAGCAGAGGCCTGGGAGCTTCTGGAAGAGGCAGGCTGGGCACGTGTGCACTCACTATGGGGTATCCTGGCACCTGCCGTGCTCTCTGCCCAGACCCCCTGCCTCCCTCCTTGCCTTGCTGGTTCCTTACCCTTGGGTCTCAGCTTTGGTGTCACCTCCTGGGGCAGCCTTCCCCTGGCTCACCCCCACCCCGGGGGCTGGGTCAAGCTCCCTACAGGCAGGTGCTGGGCCCACCTCCATGGTCTTAGCCAGCCAGAGGTCTTGGGAAGGTGTGGTGGTAAGTGGGGCCATGGAAGAGGCCCTGGGGTCCCAATGGCAGCATTCTCCTCCCTGCCAGCGGTACCTGGTGCCTCAGGCCCGTGCCCTGTGTGGCTTGGATGAGAGCAAGGCCAAGCTGTCATCAGACGTGCTGACCCTCCTCATCAAGCAGTACTGCCGGGAGAGTGGTGTGCGCAACCTGCAGAAGCAGGTGGAGAAGGTGAGCTGGGCAGACAGACCAGGAGGGCAGGGTCTGCAGCCTGTGCAGGCGGAAGGAGGGCCTTGAAGACAGGATGCCACGCCAGGCAGGACACATCCTGCAGATCCCACCTTGGGGGATCCCTAGAGGCATCCTGTCCACAGAGACAGGTGGTGGGAGCCGGGTGGAGCAGGGAGCCGGTGCTTCCTGGGGACAGGGTCTTAGTTTGGGGAGGTGGAAAGTTCTACAGCCGGACGGTAGAGATGGCTGGACGACCGCGTGAATGCGCTTCATGCCGTGAAGCTGTAAGCTTACAAAGGGGTGAAATGATCATGTTTTGTATTTTACCACAATGTTAAGAATTAACTGGGGTGAGGGCCCATGCCCACTCGGCTGCCTTGCCTGCTCCAGGTGTTACGGAAGTCCGCCTACAAGATTGTCAGTGGGGAGGCGGACTTCGTAGAGGTGACGCCAGAGAATCTGCAGGACTTTGTGGGGAAGCCCGTGTTCACTGTGGAGCGCATGTACGACGTGACGCCCCCTGGTGTGGTCATGGGACTGGCCTGGACTGCCATGGGTGAGCAGCCTGGGCCAGGAGGTGGCCTGGGGCTGGGCGGGGTGGGGGGGGGATGGTGCCGCACGTCCTCCCTGGGAGACGCAGGAGGGCTGACAACTGCAGATCCCGAGTCCTGCACCGCCCCCCCCCACTCAGTGAAGTGAGTCGAGACACCAGGGGCTAATCAAGAAGGGTTATTTGCATTGAGGGAAATCCCTTTTGCCTTGTGGGGGGAAATGACACCCAGCAGGGGGCTTCCTTGTCCAGGTGACCTCACTCAGCTCAGCAGGGAGGCTGGTCTCAGCTCCAGGGTGGCGGCAGGGTGGTGCTGTTGGGGGGGCTACGGGAAGCACGCAGGCTCTGAAGGGTGAAGGGTCTGCTTACTTGGACTGGATTTCAAGGAATCGGGGTTTGGAGCTGGCAGGCTGCGCACTCGCAGTGTCCGTGTACACGGGGGCGGGCCGAAGCAGAGGCCAGCAGCAGTCTGACTGCGGGGCCAGTGCAGGGGCTGGGACGTGGAGGATGAGCGGGCAGTAGGCCAGGGAGAGCTAGGGGAGGGGCAGCCGTCCCTGGAATCGGAGGGGTCCCAGTGTTCACAGTCTCTGCCTGCTGGTCTCCTAGGGGGCTCCACGCTGTTTGTTGAGACCTCCCCTCGGAGGCCAAGAGACAAGGATAGCAAGGGGGACAAGGATGGAAGCCTGGAGGTGACAGGCCAGCTGGGGGACGTGATGAAGGAGAGTGCTCGTATCGCCTACACCTTCGCCAGGGCCTTCCTGATGCAGCACGACCCCACCAACGACTACCTGGTGACTTCCCACATCCACCTGCACGTCCCTGAGGTGAGGCCTCACCTCCCACCTCTGCCCCCAGCCCCCTGGCCTGGGCCCAGCCCCTGTGCATCCTGCCCACCCCCCACCTGCATCTCCCCACCAGGGCGCCACCCCCAAGGATGGCCCAAGTGCCGGCTGCACCATTGTCACGGCCCTGCTCTCCCTGGCCATGGACCGGCCAGTACGGCCCAACCTGGCCATGACGGGCGAGGTCTCCCTCACCGGCAAGATCCTGCCGGTGGGTGGCATCAAGGAGAAGACCATCGCAGTGAGTGTCACCCCTTCCCCCTGGGGTGGGCTTGGGAACCCCAGCCCCTTAGAGAATCTGGACCAGAGACCCCACACTGTGACACTGTCCTGTGACCTTGCACCCATGCTGTTGGCCTCAAGTGGCAGGGGGTGGCCATAGCCCCAGGTGGAGTGGAGTGTCCTAGCTGACCCTGCCCTATAGTGGTTCTCAGCTCCTCTCAGGGCTCCTGCTTCCCCCTCAACCAGGCACTGAGAATGAGGGGTGCAGAGAGCAGGACAGGTGGGCATATGGAGCTGCAACGAGGTCTACCCTGACCAGTTGACCCTCTGTTGGACTTCCTCCTCCTTTGCTGAGCCCTGCATCCCCTGCCTTCTGAAACCTGGCCATCCCGTGTCCCCCGCCCCTTGGACAAGGCAGGGTCTGTGGCTGGGACATGCACAGGCCCTCCACCCTGAGCCTTGCTTTCCTCCCGGGGGCGGGGGGGGGGGGGGGGGAGTCAGAGGCAGCTGCACAGCCCCTCACAGGCGTCAGCTCTACCTCCACAGCAGCAGTGGGGGCGCAGTGGGAATGCGCTGGCCTTGGTCCGGAGACTCGGCCCTTCCTAGGCCAGCTTCTCGGTTAGGGGAGCTCAGGAGCTCACAGGTGCCGGCAGGACGTGCACAAAGCCCCCCGGGGCCCTGGGAGAGCAGGCTCCAGGACCAGAGGCCAGGCGTGGGGTCCAGCTGCTGCCGCTGGGAGTCCCCAAGCGGGGGGAGCCAGGCTGGAGCCCTTCCCGCCAGGCCGACCTGCCGCACCTCCCTCCCAGGCAAAGCGTGCGGGAGTGACGTGCATCGTGCTGCCAGCCGAGAACAAGAAGGACTTCTACGACCTGGCGGCCTTCATCACCGAGGGCCTGGAGGTCCACTTCGTGGAGCACTACCGCGAGATCTTCAGCATCGCCTTCCCCGAGGAGCCCGCGGAGGCCCTGGCCGTGGAGCGGTGACGGCAGCCCGGGCTCCGCTGGCACGGGCGGCCCGGTGGGGCCACAGGGCACCGGGGCCGGAGCTCTGGGCAGCTGCGCCGCCAGGAGGCTCAGGAGAGGCCCGCGCGCCAGGACGTGGCTTAATCACGGAGTCCGGCAGTCCGGCATAGATGAACTATTTAATGATGATTAAAACCCTTTCCAGTACTGCCCGGCAGCCCGCGTGTCTGTGCAGCGCCCCGACCCCCCCCCCCCCCCGCGGTGCGCCCGGACCAGCACAAGACCCCGAGGTTCCGAGAAGGCTTTATTGTTACGGGGGTGGGGAGGGGGTCAGTCCTTCTTGGCGGCCGCTTTCCGCATGGCCGCCAGCACGTTGCTCAGCTCCTCTCTCTTCCTCTTGGCGCGGATGTGCGTCCCGACCTGCGGCGCGGGGAGAGCGGTCGGCGCGGGTCCGGGGTCCGGCTGCCCCGCCCCCGACCCCCACCTACCCGCTTTTTTTTTTTTTTTAAGTTTTTTTTATTTATGATAGTCACAGAGAGAGAGAGAGGCAGAGACACAGGCAGAGGGAGAAGCAGGCTCCATGCACCGGGAGCCCGACGTGGGACTCGATCCCGGGTCTCCCGGATCGCGCCCTGGGCCAAGGGCAGGCGCCAAACCGCTGCGCCACGCAGGGATCCCAACACCTACCCGCTTCTTGATGAACTTGAGGGCGCGCTTGTCCTTGGACACCTTGAGCAGCTCCATGGCCCGCCGCTCGTACGGGGCGAAGCCGCACACCTCCCGGATCATGTCCCGCACGAACTTGGTGTGCTTGGTGAGGCGCTGCGGGGACGGGGCGCCGCCGGGCCCGGCGGTCAGGGCTCAGGGTCAGGGCTCGGCGGCGGCCCGGGTCCGCGCCCGCCCCCCACCCCCGCCCGCACTCACCCCGCGGCGGCGGCTGTGCCTCGGCTTGCTCACGTTCTTCGTCACCTTGTGGCCCTTGTTGAGGCCCACGGCCATGGGGTAGCGCAGAGCCATGGCTGCAGACGGCTGGGGGGACGGACGCGGAGGTGAGTCCGGGCTCGGGCCCCCGCCCCCCGGAACCCCGCGTCCCGGCTCCCCCGGACTCGCTCGCTGCGCCCGGCCACGGCCCTGAGCCGCCCCGGGGCCCCGGAGAGGGGATGGCGGCGGATCCTACTCGGCCGGCGCCCCACTAACCTGCTGCTGCTCGATGCTCCGGCGGCGGAAGGGCCGGGGGCCCGCGGAACTCTGGGATATCTAGCTCCCGCGGGGCGGGCGGGCCAGAGGGGCCGGGAGGCCGCGCGCTCCCCCTGGCGGCTGGAGGCCGCGCGGCCCCTGCGCGTGCGCGCTTGCACCAGCGGGCCCAAACCACGCTTCTTTTTTTTTTTTTTTTTTTTTTTTTTTTTTACTCAAAGAATTTTGTTTTATTATAGTACATGAGCTGGACTGATGGGAAAGGGTAGGTGTATGGGCAACCACTGCCCAGATTAGCATCGGATGCCCATTCCGATGGCCATGAATGTGCCAAATGTGCCGCCACTCTGCATCATGGTTTTCCCGATGCCGCCCATCAGCTCCCGACCCCGCATTCCGATCCTGAGACAGGAAAAGGTGCCGAAGAGCGCCCCGGCCGCCATGCCCACTGCGCAACCCATCACAAAGCCCACCTTCACGCGGTCAAAGCAGCTCGGCTGGGACTGTCCGTAGGGCCCCACGGCCACCGGCATCTCGTTCGCGGCTTCGGTCGCTCAGGTCTACGTCTCACCCGGAACGCGACCCAAACCACGCTTCTGCCCGGGCTGCGCGTCCTTTCCCGGTGGTTGGGAGTTCGAATCCTCCTTCTGCAGCTGGCTGGCTGGAATCCCACCTCGGCCGCTGGCTTGCTGACCCTGCGCCAGGGGCTTCACGTCCCAGGACCTGAATTTCTTCATGTATAGGCTCAGGACAGAAAGAGTACCCATTCCAAACTGTTCGGCTAAGATACGATGGCACTCGGCACAAAATAAAACCCATAAACAGGGGATCCCTGGGTGGCGCAGCGGTTTGGCGCCTGCCTTTGGCCCAGGGCCCGATCCCGGAGACCCGGGATCGAATCCCACATCAGGCTCCTGGTGCATGGAGCCTGCTTCTCCCTCTGCCTGTGTCTCTGCCTCTCTCTCTCTCTCTGTGTGACTATCATAAATAAATAAAAAAAAATTAAAAAAAAAAAAAAAACCATAAACAGGTATTGGTTTCATTCTATATGATGCCAAACTCTGGATTAGAACTGAAGAGGGTGATTTGGTATAGTGCCCTTTAATACATTTGATATCATTTGATGAAATTTCAGATGGTGCAGGGACTGGAGGCCCAGTAGAACCATACAAGTTTTTTTTTTTTTCCTGGTTTTTATCCTTCAGTCCTACTTATCCCCCAAACGATGGTCTGCCATTTGGAGCTAGTCTATTTGGGGTTAACCCTTCTGACACTTGCTCGTTCTAGACCCTTGCACAGCCAACAGTGGCCAGCATTTTGTAATACTGCATTCATTCTACAGTTTTTATCTGGACAGCTGCTTTTTCTTTATGCAAACCATGCTGATTCGTCATTTTAGGGAGAGGATGTGTCGATTTTTCACTAGATGTAAACATCAGTGACGTGCAGATAGATACAGCCCACACTTGGTTTAAGTGTCAGAATCCCAGCTCCTATCACACACGGGCTGCCTGTCTCCCTCTAAGCACGTGTCCTTACTTATAAAATGGAAACAACAGTAGCACCAACTTCCGGTTGTGAAGATGCCGCAAGATCACCAAAGTCAAGCGCTTGGTGTCTGATACACATGATCATTATTGGCGCCCAAACCACCATCCTTCATACCGCAAACAAGGCCTTCAGCCCACCAGTACCCTTCCTCCCCCCGACTTCCCCAGTGAGGTCTCCACTGTGAAATGGAGAAATGGAGGCTGGAGGAGTCTGCTCCCCGCACACACATCCCTCTTTACCAGCTCGCCACCAGCAAAATGGAAAAACTAAGCAATCTGAACCTATGTGCAAAAGAAGGGTTTTTATTGTGAAACAGAAGGCTGGGTCCAGCCCAGAGCACATCCTTTCCCTCCTCCGCGCCCGGGACCCCATCCACGGAGGGACGGCCTCAAGGCTGTCACCTGCGGGGGCAAGGGTAGGGGCCGCTCCAAGGTTGAGCGAGCAGAAAGAGACCAGGGATGCGGTGGTTCCAAGAAATGGCCAGGGCTCCCCGGGTGCCCTGATGGATGCAGCCTGGGGCCTGGGGAGAGTCACGCCCCCTCTCTTAGCCTCAGTTTTCTCATCTGCAAAATGGAAGCAGCAATCACGTCACCGACGGTGGCCCGGATGACTGAGGAAACGCCTTCCAAGTCGCTGACCAGGTGCCTGGCACACGATCAACGCTTGCAAACTCGGAGCTGCGGCTGTTTCCAGGTGCTGGCAAGTTTTTCTCGGCTTTCCTTTTCTGTCTTGATGACTCTGTGTCGGGCCTCGGCCACCCGCTCAGAGGTGTCTCGATGGGTGTCGCCGCTCTGGGACGGCTGGATGGAGGGCTCCCCTCTGGGAAGACGAAGGAGCGCCGCCCCGGGAGCTCAGGCAGCGGCAGCGGCGACAGCGGTGACGTTGAGCTCCTGGCGGATGAACCAGGCCCTCGGGTGCGGCAGCCATCCCCGGAGCAGGCCCAGCAGGTGGAAGCGCCACGGGTAGAAGACGCCGGGGGCGCGGGTGGCACCGCCGCGGATCACCGCCAGGGCCGCCTTGGGCCCCGGGGCCGCCTTGGCCCTCGTGACTCCCCTGGGGACGGGAGGGTGTGCTGGGGACTGCGGCCGGGCCGCCCCCCACAGCCCCCTGCCCCTGACGGCCAGGGCCTCACCTGACTGCCTCTGCGGCCGAGGCGCGGTCCCGGAGGCCCAGGACACACATGGTGATGGCCACGTTCACGTCCTGCACGTCCAGCTCCCGCCGCAGGGAGCCGAAGAAGCCGTCCAGCGCGAACTTGGCCGCCGAGTACGGGCTGGAGAAGGACGTGGGCACACGGCCTAGGAGCGCGGGGGCGCAGCCGCTCGTGACCACACGGCGCTCCCCCTCCTCCGGAGCCTCCCTGCCCTCCCCAGGTCCGCCCGCCTCCCCGGCCGCGGGCACGCACCGAGCAGCGAGGACACGACCACCAGGGAGCCTCTGCTGTCGGTCAGGCTGGGCAGCGCCAGCGAGGTCAGCTGCACGTAACTCAGCAAGTTCACCTGCAGGTGGCGACGGCGAGTCACCGCAACGCGAAGCCTCGCCGCGGCGGGCGGGGCCTGGGAGGGGCGGGACTTGGCGCTGTGGGCGGGGCCGCTGTGGGCGGGGACCCGGAGGGGCGGGACCTTGGCGCTGTGGGCGGGGCCTTGGTGCTATAGGCGGGGCCTGCGTGGGGGTGGACCTGAGGAGAGGAGCCTCGCCGCGGCGGGCGGGGCCCGGAGGGGCGGGACCTTGGTGCTGTGGGCGGGGCCTGGGAGGGGCGTGGCCGGCGGGGAGTGGCCTTGGTGCTATAGGCGGGGCCTGCACCTGAGGGGCGGGGCCTTGGCGCTGTGGGCGCGGCCCTGGAGGGGCGGGGCCTTGGCGCGGTGGGCGGGGCTCAGGAGGGGCAGGCCCCGACGTGGGATCGGAGGGACAGGGCGCTGGGCGCCGCACCTGCAGGAGCCAGCGTGTCCCCTGGACGCTCCGGGACCGCGTGCCTGCCGGGGTGGCGCCGAGGTGGTTCAGCACGAGGTAGTCCAGCCCTCCTGGCCCGGAGAGGCCCATCAGCAAGGAGCTAGTCCTCGAAGAGACCCCTCCCCTGGGCCCCGTCACCTTGAACTGGGGAAGCTGCGGCCGGAGCACTGACCCAGTGCGTTCCGCCCCGGGAAGCTCCCGCCTCCTACCGAAGAGACCGGACCCTATTCCCTGGCCCTGCCAGGCTTGGTCCCTGATCCAGTGAGACCCAGTCCAGAGTTCCGCCCCCTGGAGGCAGTGAGTGAGGCTCCACCCTGGCCAAGCCCCCGACCCCTAAGCCCCGCCCATCGAGACCACGGCCCCACCCCCTCCGAGTCCTGCCCCAAGGCCTAGGCCCCCGCCCCAGACGCCAGGCCCCGCCCCTCACCCAGCTTGTCCAGCGCAAACTGCACCACGCGCCCGGGCACCTCGGGGGAGGCCATGTCCGCAGCGATGTAGAAGACCTCGGGAGCGCCCAGCTTCCGGCAGTTCCCTACCACCTGGGGGGCCAGAGCTGCCCGTGGGCCGGTCCACCCCGGCGGGCCCCCCTCCACCTGCTAGCCCTCTGGGGCCCCAGCCCAAAGCCCCCCTGCCCCCACCAACCCCGTGCTTCGGGTTACATTCCGCATTATTCCCAAAGCTCTGCCACGGGGGGGGGGGGGGGGGGCGGCACACACTGGAAGCCCAGGGGCTACAATGAGGGCCCTTCTCTTTGCTCAACACCCGCATTTAAAACTCAGATTTCAGGTCAATCTCAAGATGTCTGGCCCCTCTGAACATCGTGCAAGGTCCGTCGCAAACACTACGTTTTCTTGGAGCCACCATGGGCTAAGAAGTGTCCACCCACCACCCCTCCCTGGAGTTTGGCACAGGCTCTGGACACCACCAACAATCCCATTTTTTGAGGAACACTCCCTGTCTTTCACTGTCTCACTGTATTAACCCAACACCAGAACCCAGGAGAAGGTACTTTTATTGTCTCTGGGGGGCGAATGAGGAACCTAGGCTCAGGGTTAACCTACTTGCTACAGGTCACAGAGGAAGCCTGGATCTTTGGGAGGATTTGAACCCAGGCCCAGTTTTCCAGCCACTCCCGCCCCCACCATTCCACTGGAAATCGGCGTCTCACCTTCTGCAGGAAAGCCTCGGTGTGGGCCGTGAGCACCAGGTGGGAGCCCAGGCGAGCGTAGTGATAGGCCAGCTCCTCCCCGACGCCTGCGCTGGCCCCGGTCAGCAGCACCCGGGCTCCCTGGAGGCTGGCTAGCAGTGTGCACAGTGGTCAACGCCGGGGATGCCCTGGATGGCGGGCCCAATTCGTCCCTCCCCCACCTCCAGGCACTCACCAGGGTCGAAGTTGTCATCCCAGTAGTAGGAGAAGAACAGGGCTCCCAGCCCCGTGAGGAGCAGAACCTTCATGGCCGGCTCTGAGTCTGCAGGGTCTGCAGCGGGAGAGAGGATGGCAGACACAGCCTGGCCCACAGCCACCCCCATTTCCCCAGCTGGGCCTTTGTTTGCTGACGATGCTCCCTCCAGACCCTGCCCTCTCTTCTCCATCTCCGCAGCCAGCACCTGGTCCAGGTCATAAAGCTTCCCCTGGCCTCTTCGGGTTGTTCTCCCTCCTAGAAGCAGCCAAATTACATCTTACCTCCCCCTGCTGAAAACCCTCCCCATCTCATTGAGGACAAAAGCCAGGCTCCTTGATGCTCAAAAAGGCCCCAAGAGGACCAGCCCCTCTTGCTCTGTTTGCCAAACAGCGCCTCTTCACCATTCCTTAGAAGGAGCCAGTCTCCATCCTGCCTCAGGGCCTTTGCATTGGCTACTCCCTCTGCCCGGAATGCTCTTCCCAAATATAACCCAATGAGTTGCTCTCTCACTTCTCTGAAGTTAGCACAAAATTGACCTTCTCCAAGGAAAACCCCCTGGCCTCCTTTTCTAAAGTACCTCCTGGTCCCTCTCCCTCCTCTTGCCTCTAGAACTTCCACACTCTCAGCACTTGCCATGATCTGAAATCATCCTGATGATCTGTTACATGCTCCCTGTCCCTCTCTCCTCTTAGAGCGTCAGCTCCACGAGGCAGGAAGGAAACGGAAATTTGCTTCTGCTTTGTTCGCTGTTGGGTCCTCAGTGGCCCCCAAACTGCCAGACATGGAGCAGATGCTCGACAGACATGAGACCGGCCCTGAGTGATGTGAGGAACATTGGAAGTGACAGCTGGGGGGTACCCGGAGAGATGACTCTGGAGACACCAGGAAGGAGCCTGTGTCGTCAGGGTTAAGATGTGACTTGAGCTGTGGGAGTGGATTTACTTGTTCCGGGGAGAAGGTGAAAGAGAGAAACAGGCCAAGGACTTCACGATTCAGGGGGGCACGAATCTTCCCCCAAGAAAGGCACAGGCCCGTCACATCCTGGGGTTTCTGTTCTCTGAACGCAGTAGGGGTAGAACTGTAGAACTGAGAGATGGTGGGGCTGGGGTGCCCTCAGCTCTGAGATGTCTAGATCCTTCGACCTACTGCCAACTGCCAGCTGCCTCCCCCTGCCTCCCCCACCCTCCCACTCCCTCCTCCGCACCCTATGCTCTCCGGGCAGCCCAAGACATATTTACCCAAAGAAATGTGACTGCCCCTTGCAGCTGCAAACCCTCTCAGGGCTCGCCACTGCCCCTCATGGAGACCGAGCTCCTCACCCCGGCCCACAATGCGCCGCGGGCCCGGCCCTGGCCCACCTGTCCCTTCTCATCTTGCCCGGTTCCTGTCTGTGACTCTTTCTCAGCTCTCCGAAGAGTGAAGTCCTCGCCCTTCCCCAGTCACGGCAGCCATCCCACCTCTCCCCGCTTTCCAGGGGACGCCCGTGAAGTCCCGCAACTTGACCCTCTTCCACCCTGACCACAGCAGCCACGCGGCGGGGGCGGGGGCGGGCGGCTGGCTGGCCGTCTGGGTGGGTGGGTGGATGGATGGATGGAGCAGCCGGCCGGCGTCCCATGGGGACGGAATTGGGAGAACCAGACCCTCGCAGAACGCACTGGTCCCCTGACCTCACAGAGCCTCAGTTTCCCCTCTGGACAAGAGGGGCGTGCGACGTGCCGCGCGCTCCCAACCTCGTACTCACCCACTCGGGCCTCAGTTTCTCCCGCCGTCCAGCGGGGCTGGGGTCCGGGCCTGGGAGCCCGGCGCGCACCCCTCGGACTCGGACCTCGCTAAGCTGCCGGCTCCCGCCGGGCCCCCGACCGCGCCCCCTCCCGTAGGGCGCGGGTCACGTGACACCGAGCCCACCTCCGCAGGGGGCGGGGCCTGGCGGGGGAGCGCGGAGCCCGGGCGTTGCCCGGCAACGGCCTTCCGCCCGGCTCGCCCTCTCCCCGCCGTGGTCCTGGGCCCGCCCCCTGGACGAAAGCCCCGCCCCCGAGGCAGGCACGTGACCGAGGACCCGCGTCCCACGCACAATTCCGACCTCGCGTTGCCGTGACAACCAACCATCTTATTGGCACACTCTCCCTGGGCCGGGGCCCTCGGTCCCCCTCACGGGCGCGGGTGGATCTCCCGGACTCCGACGCCTTCTTGGGCCACTGTCGGGCCTCAGTCTAGACGCCCGACTCCTCTTTTCCTCGCACGCCGCCGGAGCCGCGCCAGGCCGGACTACATCTCCCAGCAGTCTCGGCGGCTAGGCGAGCCGTCCTGCGCCTCACGGGGGGGTGGGGGGGGGGGGGTTGGTGCTGACTCCATTTCCCAGGCAGCTTTGCGGCGTCCGGGCTCTGGAGATTACACTTCTCAGAATCCTTTCGCAGGAGGGCTGCGGAGCCTCTCCGGCGTTTTGCGGCCGCCGCGCGACTTCGACTCCCACAGGCCTTTGCGGCTAGTCGGGCGACTACGTTTCCCAGAGGCCTCTGCGGCGCAGTCACCGGAAGCGGCGGGCGAGTCGAGTGTCCTTGCGCGCGGAGCCGAGCGACCATGGTGCCCCGAGTGTGGTCGCTGATGAGGTGCGTGGGGCGGCGGGGCGGGCTCCGAGCCCCCGAGAAAGCCCCTCCCGTGGGCACCTCCCCCCCGGGTTTGCTTCCGGCTGGGTCTTGGAGCTCCGTGGTGTCGGGTCCCGCCTCGGCCTGACCTGCGCGGGGCGACGCGCGAGGCACAAGGCCGGGGGTCTAGGCCTTCCCTGTCGCCGCGCCGTGTGCGGATCACGAGTGGGCCTCAGTTTACCTGTTAAACGGGGCCGAGGGGCTGTGCTCTGTGCAGTGAGGGGAGCGTTGTGCCTGGCGGTGCCGGGCCGCCTCCTTGTTCTTCCGTGTCCGCTGCCCGGCCTCGCTGTGTCACTCCTCGGACCCAGGCGCCCTGCGTGGGCCCGGAGCCCGGGGCTGCCGGCAGTGCCGGGGAGCTGCTGAGCCGCCGCCCTGCCCCCCCCCGACCGCAGGTTCCTCATCAAGGGCAGCGTGGCCGGGGGTGCCGTCTACCTGGTGTACGACCAGGAGCTGCTGGGGCCAAGCGACAAGAGCCAGGCTGTGCTCCAGAGGGCCGAGGAGGTGGTGCCCCCAGCCATGTACCAGCTCAGCCAGTACGTGTGCGAGCAGACCGGCCTGAAGATGCCCCAGGTAGCCCCGGGCGGCGAGTCCGTGTCCGGGTCCTCCCACGGGCTCGTGCTGCGAGGCTGGGGCCACCGGGCCCTTCCCCTTCTCACCTGCCCCTTCTCCCCTCTCTTCCCAGCTCCCAGCCCCTCCAAAATTGAACTTTCACTTCCGTGACACCTGGAACTCAGGTAGGCCCTGGTCCCCGTGCTGGGGGGTGACCCCCGATGCCGCAGCCTCGCACCCCTGCCACCGGTTGCTCCCTGGTCACTCCTTCCCGTGGCTCCCCATGCTGCCCTGCGCCCCTGCCACGGATCTAAAGGATCTAAAGGGGGTGGAGATATCCGGGAGGGGTGAGCCAGAGGGAGCCTACTTTGAGGACAGGTGATCTCAGATAACGTGAGGCCCTGCCCCCCACCGCCTCAGTTTCCCCATGTGGGACCGATGGTGCCGGAATTGGTGCCTCTCAAAGCCTTGCGGAGCTCGGGTTTCCAGGGGGCTGGTGTGGGTGGGCGAGACGCGGTGGCTGAAGGCGCTGGGCCCTCCCTCTCCACAGGCATCCTCACGGTGATGTCGGCTCTGTCGGTGGCCCCCTCCAAGGCCCGCGAGTACTCCAGGGACGGCTGGGAATACCTGAAGGAGCGGATCAAGTAGCCTGCCAGAGGAGGCCACCTGCCCCAGTCAGGAACGGGGGCAGGGGCGCCAGCGACCTGGAGACTCCAGACTGGGACTGGGACCCCACTCAAGGGCAGCTCCCGGCCTTGCCGGCCCAATAAAGGACTTTGGACATGCTCCCCGACCCGTGTGCTGGCCCTGGGGGCTGGGGGCGGCCCGGCTGGTGCCCAGAGAGAGGGGCCTGACCTGGACCACAGGTGTTGGCTCACCCCTTTGCCGTCCGGACCCCCTCTGCTGAGTCTCCAACCTGGTGCGGGGCTGGGGGCAGACATTGACCCTGGAGCTCCACGGACAGTGCTCAGGGGCCCGGGAACAGGTTGAGAAAGTGCTGATGCCGGCCCTCCTGGAGGGCTGAGCCCAGGGTGAGGGCTTTGCAGGGCTGGGGGCCTGGGGAGGGGCATGTTCATCTCCCCGCTGTCTGCGTGGCCAGGAGTTCCCGGGGCCGCTCAGTGATCACCGTGTGTAGAGCTGCTCACGAGAGCGACTGCAGTCCCTGCAGGACGGGCCTGTGTCCCCGGGGAGGGGGTCATGACGTGGGGGCTGCAAAAAAGCAGAGATGGCCAGGTGTGGCCCAGGGGCGCCGGGCAGGCAGGCAGGGCTTCAGGAAGCACCTGGCCACCCCCAAGGCAGCCCCACAGCGAGGACGAGGGTGGGCAGTGCGGTTTCCAGGTGAGGAAACAGGCGGAGATGGAGGCACCTGTCTGAGGGCACAGGGCAGGCAGGGCTGCGTCTCTTACAGACGGACACACGTACCCCAAGGGCTGCTGGGACCTCAGGCTGCTCCAGGCCCTGCGGGTCCCTCAGCAGCTCTGAGGAGATGCCTTCCCCAAGCCCTAGGTCTGTTTGCACTGACACTCCCTCCCCGCCCCCCCTTGGCTTCATGTGTGTGTGTGTGTCTGTGTTCATGAAACAACAGAAGCTCTGGTGTGTAGCCATGGCCCACAACCTGGCTGCTCACCTGCTGCCCCCCTGGACCCAGCAGCAGCCAAGACGGGTGCCATGCTGACGCCTCCATCCCATCGTGCAGTCAGCCCCAATTCTTCTGTCCACTTGAGTCCATCACCAGGGCCACGACCACCTCCCAGGCCCTCCCGCCCGTGCCCTTGCATCCACTTCCCCATGTCCAACTCTGAACATGTCCCTGCCCTCCTCGGAAACCCTCTATGGCTCCCTGCTGCCTTCCCCTTGAGCCCAGACTCCTCCAAGGGGCCCCATTCCCAGAACGCAGCTGGTCTTCACCACTGGCCTTGGCACCCACTCAGCAGGCCATCCTCCCTCCTGACTGGCTCATCCTGCCTGCGGCTTAGCATTGGCCTCCTCTGGAAAGCCTCCCGACCCCTTCCTCCCAGCCTGAAGTCAGGCACTCGACCCAGGCCCCCCGACTGCCCTGTGGGTGTCCTATCAGGGCCTTAGCACTGCGAGGCAAGGTCGCCCTACCTCAGCCTGGGCACAGTAGGTGTTGAACAGCATCCCTGCCTCCACCCCTGAAATGCCAGTGGCACTCTGTCCCCTGGTCCTGACAGCTGCAGACGTCTCCAGTTGCTGCCAGGTGTCTTCTGGGAAGTCATCCCAGCAGACGAGCACTGTCTTGGGAGTTTGCTAGTCTCCCGTGACAAATGACCAGAAACCACACGTCGACCGGTTCACAGATCTGGAGGCCAGAAGCCCACCACAGGTCTCCCTGAGCTAGGAGGACAGGGCTGGCTCTTTCTGGGGACAGTCCGTTTCTGGCCTTTTCCAGCTTCTAGAGGCCACCACACTCAGCAGGAGTGCCCCCCATCTTCAAAGCCAGTTGTGGAGCATGTGGGTCTCCAGCCCCACCCCCCCAGCTCTCCTGCCTATTTCCCTTATAGGACCCCAGTGAGGACACTGGGCCCCAGAAGGGGCTTCTGGCCCTTTAGGTTACCATGCGCACAGGCTTGGGGATGAGGGTGGGTGGGGTCATCTGTGGCCCAGATGGGAGGGTGTTTTATTTGCTGCCCCTGCCCCACGCTCCCATCTGAAGGCTTGGTCACATGTCTGTCTCCCCACACACACACCCATACCCCGTTGTGGACCCTGCGGGAACAGGGACCCAGGCTGCCTTGGTGGTTAGTGTGTTCCCAGCCCCAGACAGGCTTGGACTCCACAGTGATGTGTCAGGGAGGCAGCCAGCCTGTCACCACTGCTCCCCTGGACGGGTGGACCCCAACATGAACATAGACCAGGGCCCACAGAGACGGAGCCTGGTGGACCTGAGGAGCAGCATGGCCCCACGTACGGGCCTTAGCACCACGCTGCTGTCACACCTTACCCCACGGGCAGGCTGCTCCACTCAGGAGATGCTAGGAGCCACAGACACAGGAAGTAGATGGTGGTGTGGTAGGCGCAGGGCAGTTGGTGTTTGGGAGGATGAAAGGTTCTGCAGGCGGAGGTCAGTGATGGTGGCACAACACTGTACGTTACTAATGCCACCAAGCTGTACACCTGAAGTTCTTAAAATGGGAAATTGTGTGTTATGTGTATTTTGCCACATCAAAAAAAAAGGCACAGCAGCCTGTTCAGCTAGGCTGGGCCCGTCCTTGACACGGAGGCAGAGTGTGGAGGACAAAGGGCGCAGGAGGGGGGACAGGGACAAAATGGCCACGACGCAGAACGCAGACGATCCCACAAACCCCAGGTCCGGGTTCAGGCAGGCCAGGAGCGTGTGCTGTCAGTAAAGGGCTTCCGGGAACCTGGACAGCCCCTTAAAGCTGCCCCTTCTGCCCTGAAGAGCCATGGCTCAGCTATGCCAAGTATAATTTACACAAATATGTGAAATAAAAAAGAGAAAACACTTTAAATAAAGGGTATGTGAACAGAAACACATTTATTACAAAAAACAAAAACCAAAAAAAAAAAACCAGAAAAACACAAAACATTCACATTGTATTGAGCTACAATATGGCAGCAGATAAAAAAAAATTATTGTACACAGTTGAAGAGAACTCCTAACAGAACATACTCTTGTTGCCACGGGACAGAACACAGGAATCCAAGCACTTAGTAGCGGCGAGTGAAGCGGGTGTCGTTGGGTCGGCTCCCCCGGTTCTGTCCCCCGAAGCCACCCTGCATTCCGCCGCGCGGGATCACGTGGCCCCGTGAGGCCCCGCCAGGGGCGAAGCTGCCACGCCTAGGACCGACACAGATCCCATGTCAGAGAAGTCCGGCCGGCATGCCCCCCGTGCACGCTCCCCCCCCCCCCCCCGTGCACGCCCCCAGCTGCCGGCCCTATTCTGGGAGCAGAGACTCCATCCAGCAGAGAGGCGGTGAGGGGGGCAGACTCAACTTTCTAAACCTCCCAGGCGAGCCAACACGTAAAGATGGACAAGCAGCGCCAGACACCTTACCCTGACATCCCTCCCCGGTTCATCATGTGACCTGGCCCAGAGTGACCAGACATACTTCTTTCGCCACCTATAAGACAAGAGATACTTTTCAAACAGCTTGTCTGAGCACAGCGGGTGGAGTTCCGAGGACACCAACACGAGGCTCATGGGACTCCAGTCCCATTCCTGAGCCACGCAGTCAGCCCAGAACCCACAGGTCCCAGTGATGCATCAGCACGCAAGCTGCACGCACCTGACGTCCTGGCTAAGTCAAGGCAGAGTATTAACCAAAGCCCACAGCAGTCTTCTGTGCCAGACCTCATCTGTTCCCTCCCTCCCTCCCCACATCTGGTCAGTGATGAGCAAGACCCCGTGGTCTTAGAGCAGAGACAGCTCTTCCTGCCCTCAAGACAAGGCAGACAGGCTGTGAAGCAGGTGCAGCTTGAGCTTTCCAGATGCTTCTCCAAAAAAAGAGACCTCGCCAGCTGAGAGTCAGCCCTTACCTTGCCACCTCTTGTGGTCCCTGTCTATCATGCCTCCATCAGCAGCACCCTGCCACGCACGGTCATCCTCTATTCTTCGGCCATGGTCCCCCCAGTCACGTCTGCCCCTTGGAAAAAGACATCTCTGATTTGGATTGCCCCCCTCTCTGCCTTTCAGAGTAGGAGGGGTGGTGGTCTCTGGAAGGTGGGTTTAGCATTCTGTGTGCCCAGTCCCCATCCCTTTGGGTGGTGGGGATCTACGGGAATGTTGCTCAAAGCTCCAAGGAGGCCTGAGGTGTGGCCAGTGCTCTGGGTCATGGGGTCAGCACTCATCTTTCCCTGAGACCCAGGGTCCTCAGTTGGGACACATTCAATCCTGCCTGCAGTGCATGAGGCCCCAGCAAGCAGTGTGGGGTGCATGACACAAACCTGGGTGGAGGAGGCAGCCCCCGGCCCTCGCTCATCCTCTTGTCAGAGCCGTATCCGCCCCACCCATCGCGAGAGTCCCGCCCATGGCGCTCTGGTCCTCCATGGCGTTCGGGGTAATGCTGGATGTTAAAAAGCCAGAATAAGAATGTTTCAGTGTCAAGCCTGGATCCCAAGGCCTTTGGGGCAACGAGCAAATAACAACAAGGATAATAACAGAAGGGCTGGCAAGCGTTCAACACGTGGTCTTGTGCCACACAGGCCTTTTAGCTTGAACGACAGCCAGGCCCCCAAAGTCTGCTGGTTGTCTAGTGAGGAAAGTCAAAGAATGGAGTCACAGAACAGAGGACAGAAGCCGAGGCCTGAGATGCACCCTAATCCAAACAGAGTGAATTCAGGCACCAAAGGAGAGAAGAGTACTGGGCCTGGTGACTGCCCTGCACCAACAACAAACAGGCCAGGTGCCTGCTGTACTCCAGCCCCACAAGGGATCCTTTATCGCAACTCAGCCTGGACCTGGCACCTCTGGCACAGGCCACACGAATGCTGGACCCTGCTCAATGCACTACCGGAAGGAAGGATGAAGAGAAAGCCTCCCATTCTAGGAAAAGCTGTTCTGTTTCAAAGATGTGTTTATTTAAGAGAGACCAAGAAGATGAGGGGCAAAGAAAGAGGCAGTGAGAATCTTTTTTAAACACTGAGCCCAGGGCAGCCCCGGTGGCTCAGCGGTTTAGCGCTGCCTGCAGCCCAGGGCATGATCCTGGGGACCCTGGATCGAGTCCCGCATCAGGCTCTCTGTATGATGTCTGCTTCTCCCTCTGCCTGTGTCTCTGCCTCTCTCTCTGTCTCTATTAATGAAAAA